GTAGGCATTCAGGCCTAGTGAGTCTGATACCTAGTGGTAAGATCTCCCCTTCCAGTGCTGTCTGATCCTAAGAGAAAGTGTTGGCAGGGGCATTGGGTGCCATACCCATCTCTGGTACTGCGAGCACTCCTCTCTCTCCAGCATAACATACTCTGAGATGTGTATTTAGGTCTGTGGGTGGGCATTTCATACTCAACGGAGTGGCAACTGGGAAGGATTGGCTGCAAATAGGCACTGAAGTGTTCTGCCATTTTGTTTGCCGTGGAAGGTATATCAAAGGGCTGTTACGGTGCCATCACTTGATAGTGCTTAGATTTTTTTTTCTTTTTTTTTTCTTTTTTTTTAACCCATAGGGTGATCTTGTCTGAGACATACACTGCTGAGTCACACAGATTATACTGTATGTAAAATTTGTAAAGCCTCTTATTGGGAGGAAGCAGTGTGGTATAGTGGGTAGAACACTGAACTCGAACTCAGGATATCAGACCTAATTTCATTTAAACTGCTGTGCTGTGTAAATGGGAGTCAGGCCACAGGTCTTTTTTTTTTTTAAGTTATTTTACAAAGAATCTTTAGCTGGTATAAATTAGTCTAACTAGTGAAGTCGGTAGGAGAGAGGCTGATCTACACCAAAGGCTGATCTGGTCCATGACTATATAAAGAAAAAAAAGTCCTACAGGATTGTCACATTCTTTAACATACTACTCAGCAACTCTTGACTTTAAATCAATATTTTGAACTGTAGTGGTTGTAGGAGCAAGTGCTTAGTAGCTTAAGTTCTTAGGGTGCAAGTGCTGCAGGATCAGGTACCTTGCGGATAAACTGTTTTTTGTTTTGTTTTTAATCTACAACCTTGATTCTTCAGGGGTTTTGTTTTAGTTTGCCTACTGCCCATGCTTTGAAGTCTGCTATCTCTGTTGCATGAGAGAGAGATTTTTTGTTTTAATCCAATTCTAAAATCAAATACATAACACATCAGTGACAATAGCTGATAGTCAGCCAACAAGAGACACAAGCGGCTGGGAAACTGGATTAGTTAGTTGCGTCATTCCATAAGTGGGTTGTATGAAAGCAGCACCACCTATTGGTAACACACAATGTTTGATAGTAATTATTTTTTAAGTAAGAGTGCAAGAATGACTTGTTTGATTTTGCTTGTTAATCAATCAAAATGCATATTGTCCCCTTTGTGCATATGACAAGCCAGTTAATTTTTCTTTCCTTTTTAAGAATGAACAGGTTAACTTGTGTTCCTATTTGCTTTCTTTTCTGTATTCTGAATGATTACCATTTTTGTTATGAAAAACAACAAGGGGTTGTTTTGTTTTGTTTTACTTCATTTGCTGGCTTTATTTCAGACCTTACTGCCGATGTTGCCAGTCAGAATCAGGAAGCCCAGAGTTCTACCTCCCCACAAACAACCAAACTTTTTGGAACATCAGAGAGGGGGAAGTGTTGATTTGTGTTCAGTTGATGTGCTCGGGCAAAGCTTAAGATCAGGAATCATTTTCTGTAGCCAAAGCTTGTCCCTATTGACAAGGGCATTTTTGGATTTTATTTGTGTTGTTCCTTTTAATGAAAAAACTCTTTCCAAACTCTCGGAGTTAAAATCCCTCCTCAGACTCTTGAGAAGGTCGATTGCTATGATGTCAAAGAAGGTTTTAACTTAATGTTCCCTTGTTTTTCTAATGTGTTGGTTTGTTTCCAGCCCTTTTGGGGGCTGTTGCATACACACATGTTCCACTCTAGCTGTATTTTCCATACAGCCCAGTTTTATAGCTCTCCGGTGTTTCTTAACACTAGAATCTATATTTCTGCCAGTTTGACCAATATAGACGTAATCACAAGCTGAGCGTAGAACTTTTTTTTTTAAAGGAAAACCTGTTGTTGTTCATTGTGACCCAATGGAATCACTTGTGTGCCTATAATCAACACAAGCTTTAATACCATAGTGACTCGGGGCCCCTGTTGTAAGTGTGTCTTTGAGTTGTACAAGATACCTTTGGTTAGACTGACCTCTGCAGTTTAAAAGCCATGGAAACTCCTCTTTCCTCAAGAACCTGCTCGCTGGCACAGTAATATTGTGGCTATATGGAATTATTGCCCTGGGGTTGTTTCCTTGTTGATTATGCATTCATAAAAAAGGCTGTTTTTGACCCTTCCATTCCAATAAGATGGATTTCCCTTCTAATTAAAACCTAAAAGGGGAAAGGATTCCAAACAGGTTGGACCTAGCCCATTCTCAGTGGTGGCAGGTAACAACAAGAAGCAATGGTCTCAGATTGCAGGCAGGGGGAGAGCTAGGTTGGATATTAGGACTAAGTATTTCACTTGGAGAGTGGAGAAGCACTGGAATGGGTTACCTAGGGAGGTGGTGGAATCTCCATTCTTAGAGGTTTTTAAGGCCAGGCTTGACAACGTCCTGGCTGGAATGATTTAGTTGGCATCTCCTATTAGGTGGGGGTTGGAGTAGATGACCTCCTGAGGTCTCATCCAACCCTAATCTTCTGTGATTCTATAGTTTTGGTTCATCTTTAGCAGCTTCGTTGGTCGCTATTGACTTCAGCACCTTGAAATGTGACATAATTTAGTGCACTGGGTCAACATGTGACCCCTTCATTCTGCAGGAAAGTTTATGGAGTGGATAGTGGTCTGAATGAAAACGATTATGGCAAGAATGCCATTAACTTGTACTAAAGGTCCATAAAATGTCATGTCATCATCATGGATTAGCCAATTGCGCAGAAATATTTCTTCTCTTAGTGCTTTACCCAAGCCTTAAAATAACCATATTGTGGGTCCTGGTGTACTTTCCTGGCCTAGTGTGACTGAAGACGAAACCTTTCACTTTTCCACAGTTTTGGCAGTATGTTTTGTTTTTTACTTAGATATGTTTTTATTAGTCTCCTAATTTTTGTATTTGTTACTGTTCCAATCTCTATCCCAGTGGACAAGTTGCTCTAACACATTGGTTCTCCAGTGGGCTTCACATACCCATGGGTTCTCAGAGGTTTTCCAAGAGATATATCAACTCATTTAGATATTTGTGTAGTTTTACAGCAAGCTACTCAAAAAGCTCTAGGAAAGTCAGTACAAACTAAAATTTAATACACAAAATGGCTTGTTTCTACTGTTCAATATACTATATTGACATGTAAGTGTAATATTTAGATTCGAATTGATTTATTCTATAGTTTATAGGTTGAAAATGAGAAACTATTTTCAGTAATAGTATGCTGAGATACTTGTACTCAAAATAAATCAGACTCCTCAAAGAAGTACAGTATCTGGAAAGGTTGAGAGTCACTGCTCTAACATGCTAGGAACCAATCTAAAAATACAGGGTGAAATTTACCCTGTTTAAAAAGGACCAGCATTAGGGTTCTATTCTGAGTGGGATTTGCATGGTATGTAAACTTTGTGCATGGACATTGATGGAGCAGAACACTTCATAGCTACGTCTACACTGCAGGCTTTTTGCACAAGAACGCCTGTTCTTGTGCAAAAACTTGCAGAGCGTCTACACTGCCAGGGGCAGATGACTGTTTTGCGGGGCCCAGGGCAGCATAATCTTGCGGGGCCCCCCTTTGCCACGGTGCATATGTGGGGCTTTTTGCAGCACAGGGCCCAGGGCGGCCGCCCTGCTCGCCCTGCCGTATATCCGCCCCTGTACACTGCACACACATTCTTGCGCAAGTAAATTTCCACTGAAGTGTCGGAAAACAGGGCTTCTTCTGGAAGAGTTATTCCTCTCCCCATGAGGAATAAGCCCTCTTGTGCAAGAGCTCTTCCACAAGAAGGCAGTGTAGACAGACAATATGAATTTCTTGCACAAGAAAGCCCTATGGCTAAAATGGCCATCAGAGCTTTCTTGCGCAAGAGAGCATCCACACTGCCATGGATGCTCTTGAACAAAAGCACATCTCTTGTGCAAAAGCACATGGCAGTGTGGATGCGCTCTTGTGGAAGACCTTTTGCACAAGAACTCTTGCGCAAAACAGTTCTTGCGCAAGAAGCCTGCAGTGTAGATGTAGCCCAAGTGCTTAACGAATGTTTTAGTTTTTTAAGTCTACAATATTTTGAGTAAGGAAGTGTAACACATCCCAATGTATATTAGCAATTATCCTGGCATGTTGTACTCTGAAGCTTCTGAATGACAGCTAAACAAAAAATAGAGATAAAAAAGTATTGTCCCCATTTTACAGACAGAAGTTGAAGCACTGAGAGATTAGGGATAGAAATTTCAAAGAAGCCATTGAAAGTCAATGGGATTTGGGTGCCTAACTCGAATGGACACCTTTGATAATCCCAATCTAAGTGACTTCCCTGAGGTCACATAAGAAAGCTGAGAACTGAGCCCAACTATTCTAAATTCTAGCTGATTCCCTACGTGCATCCTTCGCTGATAGGAAGACATTAGGTTTCTAAGCTAATATGGTGAAGCTTAAAAAGGCTGATCTGAAGCCTGGTGAAGTCAACTAGGAGACTTTCTGTTGACTCCTGTGGGTTTTGGATGAGGTCTAAATGGTAATTTCCATGCCAATACCTCTCCTGAATAGAGAGGGGATAACGTCCCTAGCCTTTTGCACACAAGCTAAATATACACAAATTAAAAAAAAATACATACCTGGATGTCAAATTCCCAGATGTTCCTATGTACTCTTCAGTTTATCCTTTTAAGCAGTCATGCTTCCTGTGACATCCCTTCCTTCCTGACCTTAGAAGGGTGCAGTGTGCATGCAATCATTGATATGTGGTAATCCCTCAAATACTCTAATAATATATTCATACCTAGTTAATTTCCAAGTTCACTTGATCCCTGGTCTCTTTCTTGAGGTTGCCAACAAAACTGCTAGTTGCTGTTGAAGTTTCTATGATGTGCACACTTGGCCAAACACAAACACAAGATGGGGAGGACTGTACGGATTGGGGAGATTTCCTTGGGATTAGTGAAGACAATCCAAAGGGACAGGTAACATTAGCTCTTTAGTCTTTCAAAGTGTTAGAATTTCTTGTGTTCTCATGCAAATATTTATTTTTCTAGGGAGCCCAGGAACCAAAGAGCCACATGTTTTCAATCTAACCTCCCTGACCAAGTCTGAAAATATCTTGTCGGCTTCGTTGCATTATTACATCGGGGACCTATTAAATGCTACTTGGAGTTGCCCCCATTCCGGAGGCTGCTCTCGTCATAGACATAGGAAACCTGAAATTCAAATAGATCTCTCAATATTGAGCTTTCCTTCTGATGGGAACCAGACTCGTACCCTGGGACATTTTCTAATAAATGTTTCTGTGGCTTATCGGGACGCCCTTTCCTGGCAGTGGAAGGACATTACTCATGTCCTGAGGGAGGCAAAGCAGAATGGTGAGCTTCTGATTGGCGTGAAAATGGCCTTGACTGGCCGCTATTCCTGGAGGAGGATGCCATCCAGCTATGAACCTTACATCCTGGTGTACGCCAATGACTCTGCTATTTCAGAACCAGAGAGTGTTGTTTCTAGCTTGCAGGGACACCGGAATTCCCTGGTTGAGGGCTTCCCCAGACCTGAAAGCCACTCAAAGAGCAGCCTGGGAGAACAGCGACGGAAACGTTCCACCAGCATCCTGTTGCCTTTGCAGAACAATGAGCTCCCAGGTACCGAGTACCAATACAGTGAGGACGAGGGTTGGGAAGACAGGAAACCCTACAAAACCCTCCAGCCCCGGCTGGCAGAGAGGACAAAGAGTAAGAAAAAACAGAGAAAGAGCAACCACCAGAAAAGCCAAACTCTCCAGTTTGACGAGCAAACTTTGAAGAAAGCAAGAAGGAAGCAGTGGAACGAACCGAGGTACTGTGCGCGGCGCTATCTCAAAGTGGATTTTGCAGACATTGGCTGGAGCGAATGGATTATTTCCCCTAAATCCTTTGATGCATATTACTGCTCAGGCGAATGCCAATTCCCCATTCCAAAGGTACAGTATTTTTTTCCCTACTCTATACCCATTCCAAAGGTACAGTATTTTTTTCCCCACTCTATTACTCTTACATCTCTATAGAACAGGAAAACACATCTAGTTTTTATGAACTGCACGTTTGTTTACATCAGTAAAATCCAAATGCGGCTCTTATTAAGCTCTAGAACGAGGTAAATAAGTAATAATTTATGTCCATTCTTTAAGGGGTAGTTGTTAAAAAAGCTATTATGAAGTCAGAATTGCTTTACGCAAATATATAAAATCAGAGTTATACAGAAGAATTATTTTTGTCCAGAATCCAAATGTGCTATAAATTGCTTATTGGGTAATAATAATGTATGAACTGGTGACCATCCAGTTGAATCAAGCATATTAAAGAACTGATCCTGCAAATGCTTATGACCAATTATTGTGATTACGTAATCACTAGTTAGTCCCAGTAGAAATCAATGAATGGGAATGGTCAGCACTGTGGTAGTAAAGGGTGAATGTATGGAGTCCTCCTCAAAGTAACCATAATTTGCTAAAGAAGAGCTGGATGCTCCATCTAATGCCATCCTGAGTTACCTACATAAGCACGAGGAACCTGATTCTGGAACCATTACTTCAGAGACACCCCTGCGGCTTTGAGACTATGCCTATGGGTAACGATTATTTTGGCGAGTTAAGAGTTCTGTAACCTGACCCGGAAATGGAGGCATCACGTGGCTTCTTGAAATCAATAGGCCAAATTTATTTCTGGTGTAGCTCCATTAAAGGACCCCACATCTCCCAGCCTGCCAAGGCCACAAAGTGGGATGCAAGATGTAACAAACAGCTAGAATGGAGAGGGGAGGTGCACAAATTATCCCCACTGGAAACTAGTATAGATGTAGGGTTCACAGTTGTTAGCATAGCCTTATCTTCATCATTTTCTATTTTTCATGTAACTAACTGTCAGCACTGAAAGCAAAATGATTTCAAACTAGTGCGGAGTTTGGAGATTAATTGGAAAGGTGTTCTTTTTCAATGAGAGTTAGAGGAGAGGTAGGGTAACAGCCAGGATTTTTTAGTCCAATATGGGACTGATCAGGAAGCCTTTACACAGGTGAGCAGTTTTGTTGATTTCAGGGAGGCTTCTCACCTGAATTAATATTGCAGGATCTGACCCTAAAACTTTGAGGGCTGGCTCTAGTTTGGTACCTTTATCGAGCATTCAAAAGGAAAACAAAAGATTGCAGTAGTCTTTTAGGGCTTATCTAGACTATGCTAGAGGGTCGAAGAGGATATACAAATTCCGCATAAACCTCATTTTTTGAGGAAGAGC